AATGGCAGCATCCACCTTGATCTGCTTCCTGGCTGCAATTGCAATGTGACCAGCAGCCTCATGGCCTTGTCACCCTGGCTGGACCACTCTTGCTGCCACACCTTCCTGCCCACTGTGAGCCAGAACAGCCTTTCCCTGCCTTCGGTTGCCTCGGTCAGGCATTTTGTTACAAGTAACTTATAGAGTAGTTGGTTAAAATAGAAGACATAAGGTCGGCCAGTAGGCACAGAGAAAGATACCCAACATCACCAGTCATCAGGAGAACTTTAGAAAGAACAATAATTCTAAGTGTACAACTCGTGTACACTGTTGGTGGGAACAGAACTTAACGGCAGGCCACCGCTAGAAGACGGAAGTACATACACATCCTAATACACTCACTTCCTACTCACCAAGAGAACTTAAATCACGTGTGCATGGAAGGGCCTGTGTAGGAATGACCACAACAGCATCACCCGTGATGGTCAACATGATAATCATCAACCCTAATGATGGTCATCTAAGGGACAGATAGACTGTGTCACTACATACACCACAAGAGCGTATTACTCAGCAGCAAAAATGAACAAACTAAGAAATGCCATGATGTGACCGAACCTCAAAGTCATCCTGTCAAATGAAAGAAGACAGACTCAAAACACGGTCCACAGTCTTATTCTATATACAGGACAGTCTGAAAACACATGGTTGGTTTTCTGGGATCGGGGAAGGACATACATTGACATTGGGAAGCATTTTGGAGGGATGAAAGTATCTTTGGTAAAACAAATATCTAATTGCTAAGATCCACTGAACGTTCACAGCAGAGGAGTGAATTTTCCCATATGCTGTCCCTCCACAAGGGTGCTATAAAAATTTAAACATATACATATCTATGTTCACAAACCGAATATGTATCTCCCAGACAGTTGAAGCACATTTTGTCTTTTCCGTTTGCTCATCTATGTTTTGTGAAATTTCTACCATGCTTATGCAGGGGCGCGTTTGTAAAGAAAGAAGCAGCCAACAATAATCGGGTTACTCAGCATGGAATCTGTTTTGCTTCAACATTGTTTGCTTGTGATGAAGCTGCTGGTCAGCTTTTTCTCATCTATCTTTTCTCAGTGGCACCTCTGAGAGGTGAGCTAAGGAAAAGGATACAAAGCGGTCCAGAACCTAATAGCAATGCTTTGTCCTTCCAGCCCCGGACTTGGCTCGCCCCTGGAGCTTGGGATGAATGCACAGTAGGTTAATGATAGGGGGCTCCTAGCTTCCTTTGCCAGTTCCACCCTTCCATCCCAACCCCAGTCAGCCATGAATCCTCCAGGCCCCTAGAGAAAGTTGGCGGTCCAAGGCTGGGCAGTCTGTGGTTTGTGGGTCCTGGTGGGCACCGCCTTCCCTCACATTGGTCAGGTGTGTTCGCATGGTCTCGGGGAAGTCAAGAGTCCATTCATCCATTGAGATCCGCTTGGAGAATGACCGCTCTTGTGGCCCTGAAGGACGCGGTGTCCCTCCAAGAGCCCCTCTGGGTAGGGTTCTCAATGTCCACAGGCCTCTGGCTCTCTTCCCCATCACGGACTCTGTTCATCTCCAAACTTTCCACCCACCCAATGAAAGGGCAAGTCACCTCAGGAGACCTGACACGTCTCAAATGGAACATGGCTGCTCCAAAGAGGTCTTCCTTGATTGTCCTTGTGGGCAGTAGTCAGACGAGACGCACTGGGACCCCAGTGCTGGGCCAAAGAGAGCTCATGAGGCTGGCAAAGCTACTTATAAAGACTTATAAAAACCAGCTTCACACAAATATCCCCACTGTAACCAAGAAGGAACACAGAGGAGGGAAGATCAGAGCAGCTGTGTTGAGCACAGGGGAGGGCCATCTCAGCTGTCCTCTGCTCTGTCACTGCTAGATGACAAGTTGAGAAAAGTGGTGGGGTCTCTGTCCATGGGGTTCACACAGGTACGATTGTCAGGACCTAGTTTCATTATCTAACACGTCCCCCCCCCTTCCATACATAGGACTTGAAATGGCTAAACCAGCAACAAGAACACACTGATGGAGAAGCAAGACGCCAGAACAATGGAACACAGGAATACTGTCACCCGTGTCAAGTGGGCTGTTCGGGCGTCATGGACTCTCAAAGCAGGGAGTCTGGGGAAAATAAAGCAGAGGTCTTGGTGGACAATGACTGCTGAGGGGAGACTATGGTTTTTGTCTCGGGGAGGCCATGCTGAAGGAGGAACTCTCCAGAGCTGAGAGCCCACTGGAGCCCACACAGCTCCCAGGGGCCACAGACACACAATAGAATAGTAGTTGGCCGCACAAGGAAACTCTGATCCACGTGACAACACGGGATGAACCTTGAAAGGTGTTATGTGATGTAAAAGTCACAAAAGGAGAAGCACTGAGTGTTTCCACTTGTAGGGAACTACAGAATTGTCCAATTCAGAGAGAGAGAGAGAGAGAGAGAGAGAGAGAGAGAGAGAGAGAGAGAGAGAGAGAGAGGGAGGTGGCTACAGGAGTCGGGTGGAGCTGGGATGGGGAGTTGGTGTCAGTGGGTACACAGTCTCCATTTAGGGTACCACGGTGCAGGCAAGAGTGGGAAGACAGTCACAGAGCCACAAATACTCAGGGCCACTGATCTGTACACTGGGGGAAATTGTACACTGGATATATTTTAAAAGCTGTACAAAGAAGCAAGCTCCCTGCACGCACACACTGCCTGCTCTTCTATAACATCAAGTTGTGCCTGTTAGCATTCAGACCAAGTCTCAGGGGCAGGCAGGTGTTGCCTCTGCTCTTACTCAAGTAATGACAAGAACCACGGAACACAGGGAATAATGTCACCTGTGTCAAGTGGGCTGTTTGGGCAGTCATGGGCTCTCAAAGCAGGGAGTCTGGGGAAAAGAAAGCAGAGGTCTTGGTGGACATGACTGCTGAGGGGAGACTGTGGTTTTTCTCTCGGGGAGGCCATGCTGAAGGAGGAACTCTCCAGAGCTGAGAGCCTACGGGAACTCACACAGCTCCCAGGGGCCACAGAGACAGTGTTGGCATGGCTTTTGGTCTGGCCTATTTTTAGAGCCTAGAGTCACAGGTCTTCCCAGTAAACAGCAAGCAGTTCTCAGGCCACTGTGCCATTCGTGTGACACCGACACAACACCAGCAAGAGTGTAGAGTGGCCGGGTGGTGGCGGCGCACGTATCTAATCCCCGCACTCAGGAGGCAGAGGCAGGCAGATCTCTGAGTTCAAGGCCAGCCTGGTGTATAAAGCAAGTTCCAGGACGGCCAGAGCTGTTATACAAAGAAATCCCGTCTTGAGAAAAACAAACAAACAAAAAGAATGCAGAGTGTCAGTTTAGGCCACCACACCTTATCTGCCTTCATCTACCACTCCCAGACCCCCGGACCAGGCAGTGTCATGAGGGGGCTTGGCAGCCTCCTAAGCACAGATAGGGTTACAGATATTTGTTCAGAACAGTTCTGGCCAGAAGTCACAGGGCGAGCCCAATGGAGACATTTCTCTGCTCCAATCTGGATTCGTTCAGTGGGTGTTCCTGTTCATCATCAGGCAGGGAGTTTCTAGCTCTCCGGAGATCCTGCCATGCCCACTTTCTCCGCAAGGCAGGATATGATTCAAGCTGTCAAAAGACAAGCCTATCCAAATGCTTCTGCCTGTGACCCTCTGGCCCTGGCCTTACGGGCCTCAGTTGCTCATTTACTGACTCAGATGACAGTGTCCAGAGACATGCTTGGACATGGACAACTGCAAGGCCGCTTCTTCTGCCACAGTGGTCACTGCTCATGACAGACCTGGGGACAGTAAACGGCCAGTCAGTGTGTGTTAAGACACAGTAAGAGCTCAGAGCCCTGAATCCTGGAAATGTTTTATTTTTTTTTTAATCCCTTAAATTTCTAGCAACTGTGGTAATAGAGGTGAGGGAAAAGTGTCCAGTTAAGTGCAGACTATTAGAGCTATAGTAGAAATCAGCAGAAGCAATCCGTTTCCTCAGCTCCTGGGGTGAAGTCACTCTACCAAAGTGATCGCACATATACAGGGTAAAAGCTGGGGCGCATGCGGGGCCTCCTGTCTCCTCTGCTTTTAGCGTCCATGAGTCACATACTGTGGAAGGGTTTGTATTTGTCCTTCAGGGGCTCCTTCCACCCTGACTGACCAACTTCTTCCCATTAGGCAAGGAAGAGAAGCCAGGAGAAAAGCATCAGGTGCACAGGCCCCAGGAAGGTATTTCCAGAGGGGAGAGCCGGCGTTGCTGTCTTCCTTTCCCCCTTGCCTGTTGGTCCTGTTGGAAGCTCTGCACGGCTCTGGGTGGTGGAGGCAAGGGAGGGGAGCCTCTCTTAGGCTCAATCCAGAGAGTCCTGCAATTTAAACAGGCTCCCTAGGGCTCTTCTTGCAGCTGCCCAGTTGGGACATCCTGAAGTGGGAGTGGACTTGGACACGCCTTAGAATAAAACGAACATGCTGGCGTTGGCAGGAAGAGAGCATGGAATTTTCCCAGAAAGGGTCAAGGGGGACCATTTCTGCCACACAGCACAGGCTACTCCATCACAGGGATGCTGTCTAAGCACACAGGCCACCTCTTCCCAGATACCTACATAAGGTGACACATTTTCCTGAGTTCAACCTCAGGAGATCGTGAGGAGGAAACCCCTAGAAATGTGGATACTACAGAGACACACTGGAGCCGGGGTCAAGTGGCATTTCCAATGGAGAGACCTTGTCACCTCTCCCTGGGCCTCAGCGCCTCTGAGGAAAAGGAATCTGAGATTTTGATGAGATAGACTCATGCAGATGTGGCTCCATATCCAGATGTGGCTCCAGAGCAGACAGGGTTTGGAACGTTGGAGGTTCCCCCTTCTCATTTGCCATCAGCAGCAGCCACCCACTGTCTCGTTTTTAAATCAAGGATGCATCTTGGCACGCTCTTCCAATGTTGTTGTATCCAGGCATCACGGTTCAGGGTCACAGCCAAAGGCCCACTGGCTCTGCCTTCTCTGGACCACCTCAGATGTTCCAGGCTGGGATGGTGAGGGGCACATGGTTGCAGCCAGGTCCTTCCCGGGGCCTATCCTGGTTGGCCACACGCCCACTGCGCAAAGGCAGGCGGCCAGGCCCTGCGGCCCCGCTGCTGGCGGCAGACTCGGATGGCAGGCCCGAGTCGCTGGGCTGCACATCCACCACCACCCGCCTGCGCAGGAGGCGGCCGGGCCTTTCGGAGTAGGCTTGCTTGTGGGCTCCCCAGGGTGGCCGGCAGAGCTGTGCACGGAAGGCAGCCTGGAAGCCACGGCGGAAGTTCTCATTGAAGTAGCCGTAGATGATGGGGTTGGCGCTGCTGTGGAAGAAGGCCAACCAGTGTGCCAGGGGAAAAGCATAGACCGACAGCAGGTGAAGCTGCGACTCGCTCAGCTGCCCATAGTCGATGAGCAGCAGCAGCGCCCAGAGCGGCAGCCAGGACAACGTGAAGAAGAGCGCCACCATGACCAGCATGTGCACCACGCGAGCCCTGCGGCGCGACGCGCGGCCACCCTCGGCCACCGGCTCCTCCGCGTCGCGCGCTGGGCCCGGAGCCTGGCACAGCTTGCGCGCGATGCGCGCGTACATCACCACGATGAGCGCCAGTGGCGCCAGGTAGATGTGAGCAAAGAGCACTGCGGTGTAGACCTTACGCATGCCCTTCTCCGGCCAGGCCTCCCAGCACGAGTAGAGCGGGTAGGAGCGGTTGCGAGCGTCCAGCATGAAGTGATGTTCCTCGCGCGTGACGGTCAGAGTGACCGCCGAGGGACACATGATGAGCAGCGCCAGCACCCAGATCACTGCGATGGTGAACAGCGCCTTCCGGAGAGTCAGCTTCTCGCGGAAAGGGTGCACGATGCAGCGGAACCTGCAGAGGGGTGGGGGTGGAGGTCGAGAAGGCAGAGGAGTTTGGAAGGGTCCCCAGGAGCCCAGCGGGCCAGAGTTGACCTGTTAGAAACTGCTGGAAGAGGACGCCTGACTTTAATCACCATACTTGAGGCAGCATCCGGTGCTGCTGGAAGGTACCTGACATTCATCACCGCACTTGAGGCAGCATCCGGTGACAGCTCAGACACAAACCAGGTTAATTTACAAGAAAATTGGTTTGTCATTTGCGAGGGTGGCAGCTCGCTCTGCTAAATTGTTCTGGAGCTCAGGCTGGATTTAAAGTAGGTGACGAAGGTACAGCTTCCTACTTGGGATCTTTATTTCAGAAAGGGTTAGCTGGTAGCAGACCTGGCAGCCAGCCTGCCGTGAACAGTCTGTGCTGGAGAAGCCTGACTAGGTAAATACACAAATTTTTTTTTTAAAAAACACCTATTTAGAGCTCAGTTCTCTCTCTCTCTCTCTCTCTCTCTCTCTCTCTCTCTCTCTCTCTCTCTCTCTCTCCACACAAAAGACAACTGTAGCTGTCAGTTCCCTCCTACCATGGGCTCCTAGGGACTGAATTTAGGTCAGCAGGCTTGGTGACAGCCACCTTCACCCATTACTAGCCAACACGAACGTAACAAATGTAACCTCTAGCTGTTTATGTATTGCCCTGAGCACCCTAGGAGCTGGGTGGGTCAGGGACAGGCCATCCCTGGGTCATCTTAACCATTGTACTGAAGTGACAAAAAACGTATTTGCTAAATCCTGACAGGATCTCAGGCTAACACTGAGCTAGGCCTAACCCACAGGCATGTACAGCACCTACCGTACTTTGGTCACCCGCATTGCTCCGCTTTTGTAACCCCAAAGCTTTCTGTTCCCTGATCAACCAGAAACACCATGGTGACACCACGGTGCCCTGTTCTTATTGAAAGTTCATATCCTGTCCTGCCTGCTAACAGCCATCACAGCTACATCAATGGGATGTACCGAACTTGTGGGTTTTACCTGTATAAACGCCCTGCTCGCTCAGTTCGAGGCCGCCTCTTTAGACTTGTAGCCACAGAAGTGAAAGCCCCGAGCTGGGTCTGTGCGGCTGAATATAAACTTCAGACTCACAAAGCGCTCATCCTGATCTCCTCTTGGGTGACCACAGCCTAGCTACAACAGTCACAGTGCTGTAGCGTGACTTCCCTTGTTAGAACTACTCAGCAAAAGCTATTGTTAAACCCTTGTTTACTTGTTTATCATTTTTGAGAAAGTTTCCAGTCTGGACTGGTCTCTAACTCCCTCTGTTGTAGAAGGTGACCTTGAGCTACTAATCCTTCTTATTACTGCTTTCACCTAACACCTTTAGTTTTCCTAGGAAAGGTTCTCCAAGGTGTGAAGCAACTGCCACAAGGTCACATAGCCATTGGGGAGGTGGGTTATATAGAAACACCTAGGAACCCCAATTTGCCCATTCCCCTGTGCCCCTTAAACGAGTAGCATAGACGCTCCTGAAATATAAAAGAATAAAGAAAGCAAACCCCCTCCACTCTAATTACTGTGGGAAGGGTTCTGGAGTATTTGCATCTTCTCTTCTAAGCAGCCTGGGGCGGGAGCCGCCAGCAGAGGTGAAGGTTCAAAGGCTGTGGCTCAACCTCTTGTACTTGAAAGTGGGGGTCAAACAAGTGCCCTAGAATGGGTTTAGATCAATACAGGAAGGGGCGGCTAGAAGAGGCAGTTGCTCAAAGGCCTTTCTGGACCTTGGTTTCCTTATCTTAAAAGTGGGGCCCATAGCCTGGCAGTGGTGGCACACGCCTTTAATCCCTGCACTCGGGAAGCAAAGGAAGGCAGATCTCTGAGTCCGAAGTCAACCTGGTCTACAGAGTGTGTGCCAGGACAGCTGGGTCTACATAGAGAAACCCCATCTCTAAAAAAACCACACACACACACACACTTTACACACAGAGAAAAATAAAAACAAAATAACAAAAACAAAAATGGGGCCCATAATAAACCCTCCTCTGTGGGGTGATGAGGATGAACTGAGACTATTTCATTTTAGAGGCATTCTGAATGTTTACAACAGAGGGAAAACCAAAACCAAAAATTACTCTTGGACTTCAGTGGTTGGGGGGGGGGGGGCAGAATCAGGAGTTCAAGGTCATTCTTGACTAGAGAGTTCAAGGGCCACCTGGGCTATTTGACAGAAACCAAGTTGCAAAAAAAAAAAAAAAAAAAAAAAAAAAACAAAAACAAACAAAACAACACACACACACACACACAGCAAGAAAAAGGAGGATTGCCTACTTCCCAGAATGCCTCCCCTCATCCATCTGTGCCAGAAAATAGAGATACCCCTCCTGAAGACCATGGGGCCAGGCTCGGTTATTTGAGTGGAAGGGAAGAAATGGGCTCTTTCACAAGTCCACATGGCTCTTTAGGGACAGAACCTACTTAGAACACAAGTATGGCACTGACCGCTGCCAGAGGTCCTTTCTTCAGTATTCGTTCACCTGGATCCTCCCCTCCTACCAGCTCCACTGTCCCAACCTGAAAACATTTATCCCACAGCCTCACCCCGAACAATCCTGGCCTTCTGGTTTCAGAGCACCAGACACTGGAGAACTCTCCAGAGAACAGGTGACTTCTGAAGCCTGTGGTACTTTTATGAACTCAGTGGCAATCACTGGGTGGAGGGATCATTTTGGAAGGCTTCCTGAAGGAAGTGGAGTTTGATAAGTTGTAAGAATGACCAGGAGAAGCCGGCGGTGGTGGCGCACGCCTTTAATCCCAGCACTTGGGAGGCAGAGGCAGGCGGATCTCTGTGAGTTCGAGACCAGCCTGGTCTACAAGAGCTAGTTCCAGGACAGGCTCCAAAACCACAAAGAAACCCTGTCTCGAAAAACCAAAAAAAAAAAAAAAAAAAAAGAATGACCAGGAGAGGTTTTATATTCTCAAGTGAGTCAGCAAAGGAAAAAACAAAACAAAACAAACACCAATAACAACAACAAAACAAAGATTGAGGGGTCAAGAGATGGCTCAGCCATTAAAAACTAAGACTCACAACTAAAAAGACAAGAAAAAAAAAGTTGAAAGAGGAGAGAGCTTCTCACATGACCCTATCATTTATGGGCTTTGTAGAGAGGGAGCCCCAGCTCCATCATGCCAGCTGCCTAGTGACAGGGGTAGGGGATTGGGGCTGGGCACGTAGAGTCCTTACTTAGCATGCACAAAGCCCTGAGCTTAATCCCAGCAGCAAGTAAAATGAGGACATGATGGCACATGCCTAGGACTAGGCAGGTGGAGCAAGGAGGATCAGAAGTTTAGGGTCATCCTCAATGACAGGTAAGTTCAAGGCCAGTCTAACAAAACCAACAAGGGGAGGTGGGAAGGAGTTGGGAATGCGCGAGAGTCCAGGAGGAGCGGTGCTGAAAAGGGCTGGCGTTGGAGAAAGAAACCAGGAGGAGGATGTGGGTTGTTATGGGATAGTTGTACACTGTGTGAAGGTGTATTGCTGTGATCCTGCAATAAAAAGCTGAACGGCCAATAGCTAGGCAGGAAGAAAAGGCGGGACTTCAGGGGAGAGAAAGGAAGAGGAGGAGGAAATTAGGTGTGCAGCAGACGCAAGATGGAGGAGAGGTGACACCATGTGATAGAACCTAGATTAATATAAGTGGGCTAATTTAAGCTATAAGAGCTAGCTGGGCACAACCCTAAACTATTGGCTGGACTTTTTGTTGTTGTTGTTGTTTCGAGACAGGGTTTCTCTGTAGCTTTGGAGCCTGTCCTGGAACTAGCTCTTGTAGACCAGGCTGGCCTTGAACTCACAGAGATGCACCGCCCAGCAGGCCGAGCTTTTATAATTAATAAGAAGTCTCTGTGTCTCTGTGTCATTATTTGGGAGCTGACTGGTGGGACAGAAAAGGACTGGATACAGTGGGTATGTGGAAGAAATCATGTTAGCAGCTGGTGTTTGGATTGTGGGCTAAGAACTGTCCATTAACTTTTCAAACAAAGTTGCTTGAAGCCTCCAGCCCCGTGTTAGGGCATTTACCATTTTATTGATACAGTTCCTCCCAAAGTAGCAGAATGAGTGGCCCAATATCACACAGTGGGACAGTGATGAAGACAAAAACCACTTCCAGCTGTTCTGCCTACCCCCTAGTCCCTGGGGACAAGACTCCCACTCAGGAGTCCTTACCACATTAGGAGATATTTAGTGAGGAGCAGAGGTTAGGGTCACAACCATGCATTATGGGAAGGAAAGCTTAACCACTGGTCCAAAGCCTCACTGACCCAGGGCTCCAACCCTGCTCACATGTACAGAACCATGCTTAGTCTGGACTCTGCTGGAGTCTGTGGCTGAAAAGTGGAAGTGATGGACGTGTAGATTAAGTAAGGCCAGGATTTCCAGGAACCAGCAAGTAGGAGATGGGATAAAGGAGCAAAAAGAAACCCTTCTTTTCCAGCTATACTAAGCCAATCAGCAGACAGGCTCTTCCAGTTCTGGCTCCCAGGGCTCAAACAGAAGAGAGGTAGGATTCTCTGATGCCAGGGTGCAGCTGCCTTGCCCTCCTAGCAGGCTCCAGAAATTACTATGAGGGCTCGTCAGGAGTGGCCTCTGCCTTCCAGAAAGGGATGGCGTGGTATTCTCTATAGCCTTCCAGCTAGCTCAGTGTCAAAGGTATGAGCTCTCTCAGTGCCAGCCAGCCCCAAGTTACCCAGGGAAACGTCTCACCTTTCCACGGCAATGGCCACCAGCGTGAAGACGGATGCAGACACAGACATGCCCTGCACCAAGCCGCTCATCTTGCACGTGGCCTTGTCAAAAGGCCAACCTATAATGACAGAGGCCCCCCCAGGGTGAAAGATGCTAATCCAACAAAATGCAGATCTTGCTAGATAAGCCAAGCCCCCACCCAAACATGGCTCCTTTCTCCTTACGCTATGAGGGCTCATTAGGTCTCTATGACCATGACTGAGGAGACAATCATTACGTACCAAACTGCTTTAAGGAAGATGACCTTTATGTTGACATCTGATTGTCTCTATGACCTTTAGCTCCACGTAGTCCCCGCTCCCTGATCCTACTGTTCAGCCCAGAGGGAGGCCATTCTTTCCTCACATTAGCCCTTCTATTATTATTAGCATACATTCACATACATATTATTATTACACATATGTATACTAAAGTCGACCAAACAAATAAGTAAACGCTATATGGATCAACGCAGACATTTTTCACTGAGAACAACACTATAAATAAAGAAGGGGGTATTGTTAAATTTGCTGGTGTTGGATTGGAATCTGAAGTATTATTAGGATGGATCGTAGTTTCTGAAATGCAGGCAAATGACGAGACACAGGAGTAACAATGTAGCTTTGTGTGGTGGAGTACACCTTTAATCCTAATCCCAGCACTGGGAGATAGAGGCAGACAACAGACCTCTATGAGTTCCAGGCAGAGACCCTGACAAAGAAAGAAAGAAAGAAAGAAAGAAAGAAAGAAAGAAAGAAAGAAAGAAGGAAGGAAGGAAGGAAGGAAGGAAGGAAGGAAGGAAGGAAGGAA